ATGCCTTCAAGGTATTTATTGTGTAAGATACAAGTTATGATACAATCTTTACTAACATCTGTCTCATTCTATAAATAGATGCTTTAAAAATGGTTGTTGTGGTAATATTGTATATTGATGTATTACTGTTCTGGAATTTATGATTGAGGTAAACCTTTGCTTGTATAATGTGAATTTTCCATCATGCCTTCCCTGCCATCTTTCTGCTGCCTTTCCCAAGCTTCTGTGTTCATGACAAGTTGGTTAACATGCCTGAGCCCATGCAAGCCTTTGTAGGTTATGCAGTTTTCTATAAATATGAACAGGATTAATTGTGCCATCATCTTCAACAGAAAATCTAAAAGTTCATTCACCCTTTTTTTTTTCTCTTAGGTCTCTGTCAGTATTTTTTCCATTTAATGTTGTTACTGTTTTTAATTATTGTTGTAGTTATTGTTACTGTGTTATTATTCTTATAATAATAGTTGTTATTATTATTATTATTATTATTATTATTATCATTATCAATATTATTATTATTATTATTATTATTATTATTATTATTATTATTATTATTATTATTATTATTATTATTATTATTATTATCATTATTATCATTATTATTATTTTTGGTATAATTTATTAATATTATTTAATTATTTTTGTCTTTAATTTTATCATTACTATTTTTATTATTATCATCGTCATTGTTGGTCTGTTCTATTTTTATTATTATTTTTATTTTATTGATGTCACACAAATACAGTAATAGTATCAATTGTACATAATTGACAAGGAACAGCACAGTCATTGATCATATACAATTACTGTGACAGTGGAGGAGTTATCTTGGAGACAGGGTTAAAAACCTGATATATCCGTCATTGCTCTTTCATCTGAATGACCTTTGAGCAGTTTCTGCCTTATGCCGTGTGTTGAATAATACTGCAATACTGCATATATGCTTTTCCAAAGATATTGATTGAACACTTGCGTGACAAGTTGTGTATATGTGTGATGCATTTATATGTGTGGATACATGTATGTGTGGATACATGTATGTGTGGATACATGTATGTGTGTGTACATGTACATGTGTGTACATGTGTGTACATGTGTGTACATGTGTGTACATGTGTTTGTGTGTGTGTACATGTGTTTGTGTGTGTGTACATGTGTTTGTGTGTGTGTGTACATGTGTTTGTGTGTGTGTGTACATGTGTTTGTGTGTGTGTGTACATGTGTTTGTGTGTGTGTGTACATGTGTTTGTGTGTGTGTGTACATGTGTTTGTGTGTGTGTGTACATGTGTTTGTGTGTGTGTGTACATGTGTTTGTGTGTGTGTGTACATGTGTTTGTGTGTGTGTGTACATGTGTTTGTGTGTGTGTGTACATGTGTTTGTGTGTGTGTGTACATGTGTTTGTGTGTGTGTGTACATGTGTTTGTGTGTGTGTACATGTGTTTGTGTGTGTGTACATGTGTGTGTTTGTGTGTGTGTACATGTGTGTGTACATGTGTGTGTACATGTGTGTGTACATGTGTGTGTACATGTGTGTGTACATGTGTGTGTACATGTGTGTGTACATGTGTGTGTACATGTGTGTGTACATGTGTGTGTACATGTGTGTGTACATGTGTGTGTACATGTGTGTGTACATGTGTGTGTACATGTGTGTGTACATGTGTGTGTACATGTGTGTGTACATGTGTGTGTACATGTGTGTGTACATGTGTGTGTACATGTGTGTGTACATGTGTGTGTACATGTGTGTGTACTACATGTGTGTGTAAATGTGTGTGTGTGTACATGTGTGTGTAAATGTGTGTGTGTGTACATGTGTGTGTAAATGTGTGTGTGTGTGTATGCATGTGTAAATGTGTGTGTGTGTGTATGCATGTGTATATGTGTATATACATGTATGTGTGTATATATGTGTATATACATGTATGTGTGTATATATGTGTATATACATGTATGTGTGTATATATGTATATTTGTATATACATGTATGTGTGTATATATGTATATTTGTTTATACACAAATGCGTACACACCTGCATGCAATATAGAAATGTGTATACACTGACACACACACTGACATATTAATATATTCTTTGAATGAGAGAGAGGAAAAAGAAAGAACAGGACAGAGCGGGATGGAGTAGATTGGAGAGGGTGATTGTTTATTTATTCTATCAGTGTTTAGACGGCTGTTGCTAGCCAATTATTGACTTGAAATACAGTTGGTATTAGAGTGTTTCCATTAATATTATATTTCTTGTTGTTTCAATAATTTATTTCCTGATCTGTTTGCTCTACATCATTGGTTCCCAAAGTGGATGGTGCCCTCCCTTGGGGATGGTGAAAGATCTGGGGGAGGGGGGTGGGGAGAGGGGGGCAGGGAGGCAATGGGATGGCATTAGCAGCATTTAATATTAACTTCTTTTTTTTTCTTTCTTTTAAACAATCTGAATCACAAAATGTCATAAATATTAAGGTGAACTTTATCTTAATGTTTGACATATTTTGTCATAAATATTAAGGTCATTTTAAATTGGTTTACCAGATTAGGTTGTTTTTGTGAAAGGAATCTTTGTGTTTATTCCTGTTGTTTTCCATTTGAAGTATACCAGAATAAAGAAAAAAAAAATGTGTTCGCATTTGTATGAGGGAATCCAACTGGAAGGCAAAAGAGCTCTAGCCTGGAAAAGTTTAGAAACCACAGCTATACAGCATGCTCATATCATCTCATCATTACAGTTATCAATCAAAGGGCTGATCATGATAATCTGTCTTCCCAAACACGATTTATCACTCTCTCTCTCTCTCTCTCTCTCTCTCTCTCTCTCTCTCTCTCTCTCTCTCTCTCTCTCTCTCTCTCTCTCTCTCTCTCTCTCTCTCTCTCTCTCTCTCTCTCTCTCTCTCTCTCTCTCTCTCTCTCTCTCTCTCTCTCTCTCTCTCTCTCTCTCTCTCTCTCTCTCTCTCTCTCTCTCTCTCTCTCTCTCTCTCTCTCTCTCTCTCTCTCTCTCTCTCTCTCTCTCTCTCTCTCTCTCTCTCTCTCTCTCTCTCTCTCTCTCTCTCTCTCTCTCTCTCTCTCTCTCTCTCTCTCTCTCTCTCTCTCTCTCTCTCTCTCTCTCTCTCTCTCTCTCTCTCTCTCTCTCTCTCTCTCTCTCTCTCTCTCTCTCTCTCTCTCTCTCTCTCTCTCTCTCTCTCTCTCTCTCTCTCTCTCTCTCTCTCTCTCTCTCTCTCTCTCTCTCTCTCTCTCTCTCTCTCTCTCTCTCTCTCTCTCTCTCTCTCTCTCTCTCTCTCTCTCTCTCTCTCTCTCTCTCTCTCTCTCTCTCTCTCTCTCTCTCTCTCTCTCTCTCTCTCTCTCTCTCTCTCTCTCTCTCTCTCTCTCTCTCTCTCTCTCTCTCTCTCTCTCTCTCTCTCTCTCTCTCTCTCTCTCTCTCTCTCTCTCTCTCTCTCTCTCTCTCTCTCTCTCTCTCTCTCTCTCTCTCTCTCTCTCTCTCTCTCTCTCTCTCTCTCTCTCTCTCTCTCTCTCTCTCTCTCTCTCTCTCTCTCTCTCTCTCTCTCTCTCTCTCTCTCTCTCTCTCTCTCTCTCTCTCTCTCTCTCTCTCTCTCTCTCTCTCTCTCTCTCTCTCTCTCTCTCTCTCTCTCTCTCTCTCTCTCTCTCTCTCTCTCTCTCTCTCTCTCTCTCTCTCTCTCTCTCTCTCTCTCTCTCTCTCTCTCTCTCTCTCTCTCTCTCTCTCTCTCTCTCTCTCTCTCTCTCTCTCTCTCTCTCTCTCTCTCTCTCTCTCTCTCTCTCTCTCTCTCTCTCTCTCTCTCTCTCTCTCTCTCTCTCTCTCTCTCTCTCTCTCTCTCTCTCTCTCTCTCTCTCTCTCTCTCTCTCTCTCTCTCTCTCTCTCTCTCTCTCTCTCTCTCTCTCTCTCTCTCTCTCTCTCTCTCTCTCTCTCTCTCTCTCTCTCTCTCTCTCTCTCTCTCTCTCTCTCTCTCTCTCTCTCTCTCTCTCTCTCTCTCTCTCTCTCTCTCTCTCTCTCTCTCTCTCTCTCTCTCTCTCTCTCTCTCTCTCTCTCTCTCTCTCTCTCTCTCTCTCTCTCTCTCTCTCTCTCTCTCTCTCTCTCTCTCTCTCTCTCTCTCTCTCTCTCTCTCTCTCTCTCTCTCTCTCTCTCTCTCTCTCTCTCTCTCTCTCTCTCTCTCTCTCTCTCTCTCTCTCTCTCTCTCTCTCTCTCTCTCTCTCTCTCTCTCTCTCTCTCTCTCTCTCTCTCTCTCTCTCTCTCTCTCTCTCTCTCTCTCTCTCTCTCTCTCTCTCTCTCTCTCTCTCTCTCTCTCTCTCTCTCTCTCTCTCTCTCTCTCTCTCTCTCTCTCTCTCTCTCTCTCTCTCTCTCTCTCTCTCTCTCTCTCTCTCTCTCTCTCTCTCTCTCTCTCTCTCTCTCTCTCTCTCTCTCTCTCTCTCTCTCTCTCTCTCTCTCTCTCTCTCTCTCTCTCTCTCTCTCTCTCTCTCTCTCTCTCTCTCTCTCTCTCTCTCTCTCTCTCTCTCTCTCTCTCTCTCTCTCTCTCTCTCTCTCTCTCTCTCTCTCTCTCTCTCTCTCTCTCTCTCTCTCTCTCTCTCTCTCTCTCTCTCTCTCTCTCTCTCTCTCTCTCTCTCTCTCTCTCTCTCTCTCTCTCTCTCTCTCTCTCTCTCTCTCTCTCTCTCTCTCTCTCTCTCTCTCTCTCTCTCTCTCTCTCTCTCTCTCTCTCTCTCTCTCTCTCTCTCTCTCTCTCTCTCTCTCTCTCTCTCTCTCTCTCTCTCTCTCTCTCTCTCTCTCTCTCTCTCTCTCTCTCTCTCTCTCTCTCTCTCTCTCTCTCTCTCTCTCTCTCTCTCTCTCTCTCTCTCTCTCTCTCTCTCTCTCTCTCTCTCTCTCTCTCTCTCTCTCTCTCTCTCTCTCTCTCTCTCTCTCTCTCTCTCTCTCTCTCATTATTATAGTGCTTTTCATTATTATTACCACAATTGTCATCCTTATAACTTGTATTCATTGTCAGATGGTGCTACATGCGTGGCGAGGCTACAAGACCTACGCATGGGGGAAGAACGAACTACGACCAGTCAGCAAACGAGGCCACACTGCTGGGATCTTCGGAAGAGAGGACATGGGGGCAACTATTGTGGATGCTCTTGATACCCTATACATTATGGGATGTATGGAGGAGTACAATGAAGGGCATGCATGGGTGCAATATAATCTAGATTTCAATCAGCTGGTGAGTTCTTTGTAAATTTAAACATTAAATGCAAGTGACTCGTGTATGTAGTTCCCTGTATTATTTTGTTGTTATCAGCAGCTTTTTTGGACTTTTCATTGTTTTTGATAGCTTTTGCATTATAACTGTTTACTTTTAAAGCTGTGTATGCACAGGTTATGAAGTTGCAGTTATCAACATTTTGTGCAGTGAAAAACATATTGTCAAAGAATAAGTAATCTACTTAATTTGAAATGTGAAAGTCATATCAAACCATATGTAAATATGAAATGAAAATGCTATGGAAATGAGGTTTGCTTTTGGTAAAGCTCAGAAATGCCTTACAAAAAAACAGATATTTATATTGCGTTGAAGCCTTATGCAAACATCTTGTTTAGTTTGGGCATTGACTAAGTTGTGCAACTCTTGTCATATGCTGCAAATAAGCAAAAAGAATGCAAATTTGTACACTGTGCTGCAATTGGGATTTAAGAATGGTTTATTAAACAGTTACAAATGTTATTTTGTAATTTCAGTGAGTAGATACTTCAGCTTATATAGTTATATCTTTGTGTATCTGTGCATCTTTTCCTATATCTGGACTATATACTGGTCTGTCTGTATCCATTTCCTTTTTATTTTTCAGTCCTTTTTGTTCATGCTTCTTTCATTTTCTATGTTCATTTTGTTTTGTTTTGAGTTCTTCTTTTTTTCTTTTGTGTGTTGCTTACTTCTTTTTATTCATCTTTTCTTAGTTGCTTTCTTTGTCTCTCTCTCTCTCTCTCTCTCTCTCTCTCTCTCTCTCTCTCTCTCTCTCTCTCTCTCTCTCTCTCTCTCTCTCTCTCTCTCTCTCTCTCTCTCTCTCTCTCTCACTTATTCACTTATTCACTTATTCACTTATTAACCTATCAACTTTCTCACTTTCTCATTCACTATCTTACTCATTCACTGTCTCTTACTCATTCACTCTGTTTCTCTTTCTTACTCATTTACTATCTCTCTTTCTTACTCATTCACTATCTCTCTTTCTTACTCATTCACTATCTCTCTTTCTCATTCACTAATTTTCTCACTCTCTCATCTACTATCTTTCTCACTCATTCACAATCTCTCATGTATTTATTCACTCTCTCTCTCATTTACTATCTCTCAAACATTCACTCTCTCTCTCTCTCACTATCACTTCTTTCTTCCACTTTAATTCACTTCTTTCTCTTTCATTTACATCATGCTTTTTATTCACTTTCTTCTCTTT